ACCAATCTGCAGCGTAAGAAGAGAAAATCCTGGGCGCGTTGTCAAGGTTCCCGCAAGACTGCCGACCCGCAAAACACCTATGGTACTGCAGTGCTCTGCGGGATTATCAAGAGCCGTCTCTGCTATCCGCATACAGCTCCCATTCAAGGCAACCCTTAATACGCTGGAACACTTACCCGCCTGGCACTTCCTCTGCAGCCCAAGATCAAAGCCGCTGCAGCGCTCCGACTAGTTGCAAATTTCTGCACATTCGTCAGGATGATTAACCACAATTACGAGAGGATCTGATGGGAACGGCTTTGAAAGACTAGGGCGAGCGCTGAGAATGCAAGTTTTAGCCTTCTGCAAACACAAACACGCAGCCACACCGAACTGCGGTCATTATGCCAGCCCAGGAACTAGGGAGCAGGCATATTCCTGCACAGGGGACGCGGGCGCGCGCGCGCGCGGTGTGTGTGTTGGGGGGGAAACAGCACAGATAAGCATGAACAGGGCTGAAGGATCCAGGAAGACAGAAGGTTGCACTTTAGAACTAAAAATGAACTGAGGATTAGGTCATGCCTTGAAAAAAAGCACCTGACGTCACCCCCAGCCAATCAGAGAAGGAGGCTCAGGGGCAGGATGACGTCAGCCTCTGATCCTGGGCTTTGGGTGCAGATTAAAGAGAGACAGGCAGGCAGAATTGCAGTTTAAAAGGGGCAATGGGCTAGATTTTCTTTTTGTGCCTCATTCCCTTTCAGTTTTGCAAGCTCTTAAAAAGGAAATGCCCTTGTCTCGGCGGAGGAGGCTGGTGCAGAGGGATGTAGCAGCGTAAAACAAACCCCTCATTCTAAATCTACGTGTCATTTATTGTTGCAGAAGGGAGGGTAGGTTTACTTCATTGGCACATAGATAAATCCTGCTGCTGGAAAGAGGCACTGGGAAATCGCTCCCTCTTCTTCCCATAGTGGCAAAAGCAAAAGAAAGCTTGATTGGCTAGTTGCAAAACGAAGCAGGATTTTTTTTCTTCAACTCCTCTGAATTACAGGGGTGGACTTGGTAACCTCCAATAGGAATACATAACCCTGGTACTGAAATTTCAGCCCTGCTTTCGATATGGAAAATGCCCACCAAATGCTGGGCTAGATGGCCAGTTCTTAGGAGGATAGGCAAGAAATCAGATAAAGAATACATTAGTGTTACACTGCTGCTAGT